TTACTCCTTTATAAAAAAACAAAACAAAAGTCTCCTCCAAGTTAAAGCTTTAATTATGTATTTACAAAGAAGAGATATAATCCAGTTTTATGAATAATGTGATTTTCAGTCAAACTCATAGAAATAAATATGACTATGAGCTGGTAATTGACTGAGCTCCCACTACGTGCAAATACATTACCTAGATTTCTGGGGCATCTCATGTTGGTTGTTATTTCCAAACCAAGTATTCTGCTTTAGTTTAAAAAGTTTACCAAAAATGGAAACAAATGAGGCACTTCTATAATTAGGCACCACTAACTTCAGCATCTGAGTTTGTTTTTAAGCTAATCATGTGTTCTTCAAGCAGTGGCTTTGGTGGGGAGCGAGGAAGGTATGTGGGTTATGGAAACTGTGGATATTGTGGAAAGAGAAATGCACAGAAAGACAGGTCAGAGTTACACAAAATTAGAGATGGCAATGACATGAGTACCTCCTGGCATGTGTGTTTTTTTCCACCATACCTCGGTCTGGGCTTTTTGTTCTCATCATTCCCACACAGCCTTGGATGTCTGTTCCTTACTTAAAGAAAAAGCCTGATTCAAGGGAAATTCTAGATGAGCTTTAGTGTTCCAAGTACATTGCTAATACTTTTTGTCCCACCATCCTTTATTTCATGTTGAGTATTTCCTCTGCATGAAAGTGTGGTTGAGACGCTAGATACCAACAGAACACTAAATGAGTGTGCCTGCAAATGCTATATTCCTCAGGAATGATTTTAAGTAATGCATTTTAACTTGATCTATAAAGATTTATAACAATTTTATTTATTTTTTAAAATATATTTCTTTATTGATTTCAGAGAGGAAGAAAGAGGGAGAGAGAGATAGAAACATCAATGATGAGAATCATTGATCAGCTGCCTCCTGCATGCCCCCTACTGGGGATCAAGCCCGCAACCCAGGTATGTGCCCTTGGCCGGAATCGAACCTGGGACCCTTCAGTCCACAGGCCGATGCTCTATCCACTGAGCAAAACTGTCTAGAACAAGACTTATAACAATTTTTTAAAAAGTGAAAAATTTTGTCAATATTCTTATTGATTTGAAATATCTAATTTTATTTTATTTTATATACTTGCTTGGTGAGCTGTTTATGTTCCCTTTCCTTTTTATACTTTTTGGGTGTTATGTATAGCTTCAAATTCACAATTGCCTCTTTTCTTTGATTTAATCATTCATTGTAGAATAGGTACTCTACAATTTCACCATTCACATCCAAGAGATGTAAGCACTTGTAATATTGATTGTAAATTTTTTTTTAAAAAATATTAAACCTTATTTCATTTCTTCAACTTGACCTGGATTTTAGTCTAGCCTAAGCTAGAAACCAGTTCTTCAAGGGTTTGAATTATTTGCAGTTAATATCTGTTCTTTAAATTTGATTGTACCCCAGAGAGTCAAAGAAATTTTTTAAAATATATTTTTATTTACTTCAGAGAGAAAGGGAGAAGGAGAGAAAGATAGAAACATCAACAATGAGAGAATCATTGATCGGCTGCCTCCCACATGCCCCACACTGGGAGCTGAGCCTGCAACCCACGCATGTGCCGTTGGCCATAATGGAACCTGGGACCCTTCCATCCACAGGCTGATGCTCTTTCCACTGAGCCAAACTGGCTAGGGCGAGTCAGAGAAATTTTGATGTTAGTAATGGGAAAAATTGGGGGTAACACTTATTTAAAATTCTCAGCACACCATAACCAAGGAAGAAAACCTTTGTTTCTTTTGGGGAAATGTCTTCACTTCCTTTCCAAGTTCACAGAGTTATGACTCAAAACACAGAAGAATATTTCAACGTGGCTTAATTTGTGACTCTTGCCCCAGTTTTCTCTCGATGAATATTAAAATAACATTCTAAGAATTGTTTGTTGAAGACTATTTCTCTCTCACCAAGAACTACATATTTTCTATTTTAGCTTTGTCACCTATATTTTCCTCTCAATATTATCTTTTTGTGATAATGCTCAATAGTGTAGATGTTACACTTTGGTTGGGGATAAAGTGTTCTTTCAATGAGGGGCAGAACTACAGTTTTATGTGGGACTCAGCTTAGGACTCATTTCTTCCTAAAAACTTTGGCCTACACAGAGAGCTATTCTTTTTGTGCAGTTAAACACATGCCACAAAAAAATGGATAACTTCATATGAATACAACAATATTAATACTTAAAGTGGTACTAATATAATAGACTAGAGGCCCAGTGCACGAAAATTTGTGCACTGGATGGGGGGTATACCTCAGCCCGGCCTGCCCCTTCTCACAGTCCGGGAGCCCTCAGGGGATGTCCTACTGACATCCTAAGCTGCAGTCTGGCCTCCCTCTGGCCTCCTTCTGCAGATTGACCAGGCCAATCAGGGGAAGGCGCCGCCCCCATCACCCCGCTGCTGCTGCCACTGCCAGCCCTCCTCAGCCCTTGCAGCCACTGTGGCTTTGTCCAGAAGGATGTCTGGAAGGAATTCTGGTCTATCCGGTCTAATTAGCATATTACCCTTTTATTAGTATAGATTAAGTCAGGACATAATTTTTAATGCAATAGATTTAGAAGAACAAAAGAATAAGAGATCATTTCTATTGAGAAGTGGTCATTGAAGGATAGGATTTTTAACCAAGCATTAAAAAAGAAAAGGAGCCATCAGAGAGAAGGAGTAGAAGGAACTTCTTGGCATAGAGTATAAAAATGCATGGCTTTAAAGGGATTTGAGTAAACTACAGTGAGTCTGAGCATAGCTCAGTGATAGGGAGTGGTATAGTTACAGCAGGAGAGAAAGAGCCAGGCAAACCATGGAAGACTGAATGCCAGGCTACTGAGTTTGGAACTCAGACAATGGAATAAACTTTAAGATTTTATTAGGAAAGTAACATGATTTTCTTTTATTTTTGGTTAGTGCATCAGTTAGGAAACAGATGGCACATTCAAATCAGGTTAATTTGAGAAAAGTTTATTCAAGGAATTTTGCAAAAGATGTTTGCAGAAATCAAAAGAAATACAGCATCTAGTATTTGAAACAGGCTAAAGGAAGTTTTACTAGCTCTAATTGATAAAATCTGGAGATATTGCTGTAGAAAGAGGACAATAAATAACCTGAATTCACTCTGCTAACCCTTTAAATTCCTATCAGCAGTCCCCATTGGTAAAAACCAATGGAAAGCTAGAGGACGAAAACTGTTGATGTATTCCACATACTTCAGCTTCCAGGGAGGCTGATCAATGTGCAGAAGGATGGAGAGTAGAGTTGAAGGAACAAAGGGGGAAAATTCACCACAGTTTCAATTTTAAAAATACTTTGGGATGACAAGAAAATGAGGGCAGTTAAATGAAAAAAAAATTATAGTAGTTCAGGCAAAAGTACTCAATGTCTGAAAGAGCAGCATTAATAACAATGGAAGGAAAGAGAAGGATATATGGCAAGAATTAGCAATGTTTTGTATGTAGAAGGTGAAAGAGAAGAACGAAGATGACTGTTGGATACTCTTTTATTTACCCAAAGTACAGATAACAAGAAAGAACTGATATCTTTAAGGATAATAATGAGCTTAAGTGTGGGTAAGTAAAAGATGGACATTTGTTTCTGGGATTGAAAAAACAGGCCAGAGCTGGACAGTATACTTAAGCATACTTTACTTTTGAGTTGACAACTTAAGTGTGTAAATATTCCCCAGGGAAATAATTTAGAAGATGTAAACTAGACTAAGCATAGAATCTTAGGGAATGTCAACCTATAAGAAGGCAAAGATAGGAATTGGTCAAAGAAGTGAAGAAATAGCCATCAGAAAGTATGGGAGGAGAGCAGACGTCAAAGCAGGAGCCAAGGGATGAAACAAATTTCAAAGATGAATCTCATAACTTTTATATATATTTTACAGTTAGGGATGGTTTGCAGAGTAAATTTAATCTTGTTTTTTTTTTTCTAATGTAGAATTCTGAATAACTTTAAGAGTTATAATTATTTTATATTTCTCTTTGAAGAATAAATAATTTAATTCCTTAAACAAGTTTATATCAAGCATATACTTTGCACTGACCTCCGAGATAAGCCATACTGTGAATATAAAACTGATATGGAATGTACTATTGCTCTTTAAGGGATTATTATCTTACTAGAGGCCCGGTCCACGACATTCATGCACTTTAGGGGCGTTCCTCAGCCCGGCCGTTCACCCTCTTGCATCCCGGAGCCCTCGGAGGATGTCCGACTGCTATGGAGGCGAGAGAGACTCCCGCTACCACCGTTGTGCTCACCAGCCGTGAGCTTCTGGCTGAGCAACACTCCCCCTACGGGAGTGCACTGACCACCAGGGGGAAGTTCCTGCATTGAGCATCTTCCCCCTGATGGTCAGTGCATGTCATAACGACTGGCCGTTCTGCCATTTGGTCAATTTGCATATTAGCCTTTTATTATATAGGGTTGAAATTAGTGAAACATAGCACAAGTTAATATGTGTGTTACACACACACACATATATTGCAAAGATAAATTGAATACTTTAAAATAATAAAACATATACCCTAGAGCAGCGGTTCTCAATCTGTGGGTCGTGACTCCTTTGGGGGTCGAACAACCCTTTCACAGGGGTCACCTAAGACCATCGGAAAACACATATATAATTACATATTGTTTTTGTGGTTAATCACTATGCTTTAATTATGTTCAATTTGTAACAATGAAATTGGGGGTCACCACAACATGAGGAACTGTATTAAAGGGTCGCGGCATTAGAAAGGTTGAGAACCACTGCCCTAGAGAATCTATTGTCAGTCAGAAAAAGAGAGAGACTAGTTTTACATGGAGATATAAAATATGCATCATATCTCTAGCTCACAGTTTACTAGAATATATTAAGGCCAACTCAAAGAAATATTACTAATATTTATTTTGCATGACAGGGGTATCTTTTTCAGTACAATATTTGAAAAGCATGAGTTAGCAGCAAGATTTCCTTTGATGAGTAAAATGTGGAGAAATCTGGACAGTGATACACACATGGGGAGAACTCCATGTAAAAATGGGAATTATGCAGCCAGAAGCCAAGAAACTATCAGAAGCTAGTTTAGAGCCTTCAAAGCAAACTGCCCCAGTCAACATTTTGATCTCAGACTTTTAGCCTCCAGGATTGTGATACATTAAATTTGTGTTGTTTAAGGTACTCAGTATGGTATTTTGTTATGTCAGCCCTAGCAAACTGATACAGCATCTTATCCATGTCTAGGATTTGAATTACCATTATAAGCTTACTGTTTTCCAGGAAAGAGATTTGCAAGGTGTGTGCCTGTGACCATTGGTCACTGGTGAAATTCTACAAAGAAGGGTGTCGTGGCCAAACACCTGGAGCTCTACAGCACACTGCAAAAAACAGTCTCTCAGGAATTCTACAGCCAAGAGCACAGAATTTCTCCTATATGTGAACACAGGACATCTTTTCATTATAGCATATCTTGAGAATTTTGTTTAGGGATATGTAGCTCTACTGCAAGCAACCACAACCTTTTAAATTTTTATTGTCATTTCATTTCATAAGCCTCTTAATACAAAGCAGTTGATGTCATAAATATGTTTTAAATTGACATTATTTTTTAAAAATTTTATTTTATTGTTTAAAGTATTACAAATTGTAGTACATATATCTCCTTTTTGTCCCCATTGACCTTCCCCTGGCCTCCCCTACCCCTATAAGCATAACCAATGGATGCAAGACACTGGAGAGGGTGGAGGGAAGAGGACAATTGACATTATTTTTTAAATTTGTACAATTTTGCCCTGACCGGTTTGGCTCAGTAAATGGAGCATCGGCCTGCAGACCCAAGGGTCCCAGGTTTGGTTCCGGTCAAGGGCATGTACCTTGGTTGTGGGCACATACCCAGTGGGCTGTGTGCAGGAGGCAGCTGATCGATGTTTCTCTCTCATCGATGTTTCTAACTCTCTATCCCTCTCCCTTCCTCTGTAAAAAATCAATAAAATATCTTAAAAATAATTTTGTACAATTTTAAAATCCTTTGTGATAACTTCTGTTTTTAGAGTTCCTCAAATACATTTTGCTAATTGCTGCTCCAGCAACATCTTTTTCAAAAGTATTTATTTAGTTAGCTTTCTATTACAGTTAATATTTAATATTATTTTATAATAGTTTCAGGTGTACAGCATAATGGTATGAGTAGAGATATCTCAACAAACACAATTTAAAATGTGGCATACTGTATTCTAAAATATAGAATTACATCTTTTGGATATCAAGAAGCATAATAACATATAAAAATATATAAATACTAGAGGCCCGGTGCACAAAAATTTGTGCACTCGGGGGGGTGGGGAGGGGGGGGGCCCCCAGCCCGGCCTGTGCCCTCTCGCAGTCTGGGACCCC